CACTTGAGTCTTGTATTTGAAAGTCAAATTGTATATTCAGCTCTGGTCTTTTCCTCAGGAATGCTTGAAAGTCCCTATTTCATTGAATGACCATTTTTTACCCTGAAGGCTTATACTCAGTTTTGCTGGGTAATAAAGTCTTACTTAGCATTTAAAATTCTTTACACACTAGCTCTAACCTACCTTTCCAACCTCCACCATTATTTCCTTCACGCTATTCTGTTCAGCCAAACTGGCCTTGCTATTTTTCCTCATATATGACACTTCCTCCATCTCTTCCTGTCTTTGTGAGTTTGCTCAGGTTGTCTTCCATGTCTTGAATGTACTTCATCTACTTTTGCCTCTTAAATCCATATTTGAATACTTCAAAGTTAAGCTAAAGTCCTTTCATGAGTCCTTTCCTAATCATCTTTCCCAAATCTGGATTCTTTTTATTTTGTATTTACCTGTAATGTATATTTCTGTATGTATACATTCAGAGAGGGCAGCTGGATAGTGCAATGGATAGAGTACTAGGCCTGAAGTTAAGAAGACTCATCTTCCTGAGTTCAAGTCAGACAACTACTAGGTGTGTGACCCTGATCAAGTCACTTAACAGTTTACTCATCTGTAAAATGAGTTGGAAAGGAAATGGCAAGCTACTTCAGTATCTTTGCCAAGAAAATTCTAAATGGGATCACAAAGAGACACAACTGACAAATGACTGAACAACAAAATATAGGGACTTACTGAAATCTTTCAAATTCCCCTCCAAACAACTTTAAAATAACACCTCAAATCAAATTCTGGAGCAGTAGAACCAACAAAGTTCAGGGCAAAACAATTTTCCAGCACTGGACAGCTTAGGTTGGCAGGTTGTCTCGGTACAGTGGTGATCAGACCTGGAGCCCAGAGCAGACCAATTAGCTTAGGCCATTCCTGCCAGCAGCAGATCTTGGAGGCAGTTTATCAGCAGCAGCAGCAGCTTTGGGAGCTCTTAACCCCAATATATTAAGGAGGTAGGATACCTGGTCAGAAGGGGACTACCAGGGACCATTTGCTGGCACTAGGTGCAGGACTGTTGCATTGCCTATATGCAGTTCCAGGTCATTGTCTCAGAGCTGAGAGGAACACTAGCTTATTAGCACTTGGGGCCCCAGGGGTGCAGGGTCTCTGATTATAGTTGCAGGGAGTTTCAGGAGAATAGTGCTTGTGGTTGCTCACAGACCAGAGCACAGACCAAGACAGCTGTGACTGCACCTCTCAGATCATACTGCCTTGAAAGAACCAGAAACCTACAGACACCTAGAGCTAGCTCTGAAAACAGCAGCAAGAAAGGCCTGAAGATCAGGACACTGCCCCCTTGACCTCAGGAGCAAAGCCCAACTTTAACTTAAAGTTACAAGTCAAGAAACAGGCTGGAAAAATGAACAAATAACAAAAGAAGAACTTGACTATAGGAAAGTGACTATGGTTAGGAAGATCAAGACACAAACTAAGAAGAAGACAGCAAAGTCAAAACAGCTACATGCAAAGCTGAAAACAAATGTGAATTAGTTACAGGCCCCCCCAAAAAATTTCTTGAGGAGCCCAAAAAGGATTTTTAAAATCAAGTAAGAGAGGTAGAGGAAAAATTGGGAAAAGAAATGAGAGTGATGCAAGAAAATTATGAAAAGACAGTCAACAGCCTGGTAAAAGGAGGCACAAAAAATACTGAAGACAATAACCTTAAAAAACAGAATTGGAGAAATGGTAAAAGAGGCACAAAATTCCACTGGAGAGAAGAATTCTTTAAAGAGCAGGACTGGTCAAGTGAAAAAAGAGGTATAAAAAGTCATTGAAGAAAAGAACTCCTTAAAAACAACTGGCCAAATGGAAAAGAAGGTACAAAAGCTCCCTGAAGGAAACAATTCCTTAAGAATTAGAATTGGGCAACTAGAAGCTCGATGAAATATCAAGAAACAATAAAAGTTGAATTAAAAAATCGAAGAAATTGTGAAATATCTCATCATATAAACAACTAACCTGGAAAATAATCAAGGAGAGATCATAGAAATATTGTACTACCTAAAAGCCATGATAAAAAAAAAAAGATTAGACATAATTTCATGAAATTATCCAAGAAAATAGCCGATATCCTAAAACCAGAGGGTAAAATAGAAAATGAAAGAATCCCATAATCACCTCCGGAAAGAGATCCCAGAATGAAAATTCCCAGGATTATTATAGCCAAATTTCAGAGCTCCCAGGTCAAGGAGAAAATATTGCAAGCAACCAAAAAGAAACAACTCAAATATCATGGAGTCACAGTCAGGTTAACACAAGACTTAGCAGGTTCTATATCAGAGGTTTCCAAACTTATTTGGCCTACCACCCTCTTTAAAAAAATATATATACTCCGCACACCTGGGGAAATCTTTAACCCTATAACAGTTTATTTTTTTTTTACATTTGTGTCAGTTCAAAAAAAAGATCAATTTTTTTAAAAATGATGCATCTTAAATTTAATAATTTATTATAAATTTGTGCGTTTTTTTCCTGCACTGAAATTTTGATGATGCAATATTGTGTAATGGAACTATATAGTATCATATTGTAAACAAGTCATTACATGCACATATTCCTGCTGATGAATGCTGGACTTCCTGACAACGCATGACATGCTTGTCTGCCAACACTTGCTTGTTAAGACCTGTCAGTGGACTTGACTACTGTTGGGTTATGACTTGCATTTTGTGTGTGGGGAAAAAAATGTAATCACTATGACTTTAACTGTTACACAACTGATGAAACATGTACAAACGTTTTTTCAAAAATTTCTTCTCTTTCCTTATGCTTCCACTGCACCCTTATTTTTATTAAACGTCCCCCAATTGCACTCAGGTTACCACCTTCCTGGATTGTTCTAACACCCCCTAGGGTACACTTTGGGAACCTTTGTAAAAATATGTATTAATGGATCAGAGGGTTTGGAATGTGATATTCCAGAAGGAAAAGGAGCTAGAATTATTACCAAGAATAATCTACTCAGTATAATTGGTATAATCCTTCAAGAAAAAAATGGATATTTAATGAAACAGCGGCTTTTTCAAGCATTCCTGATAAAAAAGACTAAAGCTGAATAAAAAATGTAACATTCTAACAGAAGACTCAAGAGAAGCATGAAAAGGTAAACATGAAAGAGAAATCATAAGGGATTCAGGAAGGTTAAACTGTTTAAATTTATACATGGTAATATACTTGTAACACCTAAGAATGTTATCATTACTAGAGCAATTAGGAGTATACAGAGACAGAGGATATGGGTATAAGTTGACTATGATGGGATGATTTCAAAAAAATAAAACTAAGGGGTGAGAAAGAGATGCACTGAGAGAAGGGAGAGGTAGAATGGGGTAAATTATCTCACATAAAAGAAATGCGAAAGGAAGAGCTTTTAGGAAGATGGGAGGGGTAGTGGGTAACTGTCATTGGAATTGGCTCAAAGAGTGAATACTCAGGTACAGAATCTATCTTGCCCTACAGAGAGGTAGGAAAAGGATAAGAAAAACGAAGGAGGTGAGAGAAGGAAGGGCAGACTAGGGGAGGCAATGGTCAGAAGCAAGAAATGAATTCTCAATTCTTCCCAATGCAGCCAAGATTAGAAGGAAAGCAAGAAACTGGGGAATTTTTTTTTTACAAGTTTTCTCTCACTGCTGAAATATATAGAGAACTGGGTCAAATCTCAGTTGATAAACGGTCATAGGATACGAACAGGCAGTTTGCTGAAGAAAGCAAAGCTATCTCTAGCCATATGGAAAAAATGCTCTCAATCACTATTGATTAGAGAAATACAAATGTAAACAACTCTGACATACCACCTCACACTTAATTGGCTAATGATTAGCGAATATGACAGAAAAAGAAAATGACAAAAGTTGGAGGGAATGTGGAAAAATTCAGACACTAATGCATTGTTGATGGAGAATTGATCCAACCATTCTGAAGGGCAATTTGAAACTATGCCCAAGGGCAATCAAACCCTTTGACCCAGCAATACCACTACTAAATCTGTATCCCAAAAAGATCAAAGGGAAAGGACCTATATGTACAAAATATTGAGAGCAGCAATTTTTATGGCAGTGAAGAATTGAAAATTGAGGGGCCTATTAACTGAGGAATAGCTGAACAAATTGTAGTATATGATTGTGATGGAATACTATTGTGCTATTAAGAAATGACGAGCAGGATGGTTTCAGAAAAATCAACTTACATGAAATGATGCGAAGTAAAGTTAGCTGAACCAGAACATTGTACACGATAAGACTGTACAATGATCAACTATGAATGACTTAGCTATTCTCAGCAATACAATGATCCAAGACAATTTCAAAGGACTTATGATGAAAAATGCTAACTCCAGAGAAAGAACTGATGGAATCTGAATATAACTGAAGCATACTTTTTTCTTTTCACTTTTTCTTTTGGTTCATTTTCTTTCACAACATGGCTAATATGGAAATATTTTCATATGACTACACATGTATAGTCTATATCAAACTGTCTTCTCAAAAAGGGAGATGGGGGGGAAAAGAATTTGGAACTCACAATTTTTAAAAAAAGAATGTTAAACATTTTTTTACATGTAATAATTGGAAAAAAATAAAATATAAAAAAAATTTGAGGTGGGGGGAGAGAGAGAGAGAGAGAGAGAGAGAGACAGAGAGAGAGAGAGAGAGACAGGGAGAGAGAGACAGAGACAGAGAACAGATAAGACTTTTATGCTTGAGGGCAAGGACTTTTTTGTTTGGTAGCCCTAGTGCCCAGGGACTAGTAAATACTTGGTAAATGCTTGTTTCCTTGTTGACTATACAATTAAAGCATTTCATAATTTTCATCCCTTTGTAATGTATTTGGGAATACTTCTTTAATTTCAGTCACAGTACTCCACCATATTAAATTCAGCCTCTGATACACAGCTATTGTTTAAAAAATAGAGATGACAAAGATGTAGGAAATAAACTAGGAGACATACTCATACATGAAAGAGAAAAAAAATCACCTTTTTTTATTAGCACCTTTCAGGGTGGTCAAGATCTTTACAGACATCTTCATCCTCACAACAACCCTGTGAGGTAGGTAAATCACCATTTTGTAACAACTAGCATCAAGTACTTCTTTTAAATAAGGTGCAAAGTATTGAGTAAAATTTGCCTTTTAAACATAATTTTTGGAAAGACTCAATTTATACATTATCTGCATCCTTTTATCTTGTAGGGAGTATAAGTTCTTTATATCATCATAGCACTATATAAATGAGTTATTAGTTTTAGCCGTTTTAACCCAGAACAATACCAAGTGTACCTTGGTTTGTTCCATAAAGTTCTACTGTAAACCAAATCCTTTTTAAAATACAATAGGGAAACACTAAACAAAAGACGACTTTTTTCTTTTTTGTAAAAGTGATTGCTCACCCCCAGATTTATCTTTTGTCTAAGTATTTTCATATTGGGATTGCTTCAACTCAGTTGCATTCGGAAGTACCAATCTGACCACAATGGCAATCTGAGATTTCATTTAATAAAAAATGTTACTCTATGGAAGTTAATTGTACCGCATGTGGGGTAAATTTAATTCTCAAAAATAGTTTGCCCATCTGAATAGTAAGCCAATTTTAGCCTTTATGGTTCCTATAAAATCATTAAGGTAGAATACTTTAAGTAGAGACAATAAAATATATATTTCCAAGATAGTACTTCCCTCAAGAATTTTGTTTTTCTTTTTCTCCTCAACTGAATAAATAATTGATGAGAAGGTTCTTAGGGGCTTTAATGAGCACAATTTCTGATAAATGTAAACTTGTGCAGTGACATATTTAAAATCCAAACTGTTAAAACTATTAGTTCACTAAGCAAGGACACTTAAACATCCAAAGCATATATTTTTTGTCTCTGATAAGTAACATTCAGATTTAGAACAAAAAAAAAAAAAATAAAAATTCTAATGACAAGTTTTCCTTTTAGTCATTTAAACAAAATAATGCACATTGCTTACATTCACACTAGCATGAGAAATAAATTTGTCTACTTTAATATCTAATAGAGCATATTTGTCACTCCTGTAAAATATAGTTTCTATATATATTTAATTTTGAAACAAGACATTTTGAGGATGGTCATATAGTTATTAATAACACTTGCCCGGGAATTAACACTTAAAATTAATTAGCAAGGGCTTTAATACTTGAGCAGCTGGTTCAAAATTCCCTCAGCAATATTTAAGAAAAAAAATTCAAAGCCCATGTGTAAGAGTCACAGATATATGGACACATATATATTTATAAAATGTTTAAAAACTGGTATTTCTAGGTCAGGAAAAAAAGGACAAAAATATTTAAGACATCAACAAGTTATATATTCTAATGAAACCCAGTTGATTCCATAATGCACTCTGGGTTGTGATGAAGCAGAAATGTGAAGACACCTTTTTCCCAAGTTGGGTCAATTTTATACTATCAAAGTCTTCTAAACTTTGACTAAGTTTTAACCTGGCTTTTCTCAATGTAGATTCAGGATTGAAGGATTTTTATTTGAATCCCTAAGAAAAAAAGCATCTAATCACAATTGCAATTTTTTTTGGATAAAGAAAGGTACATTAATTTCAATAGATCTGATGTACATATGAATACAAAATTAAAAGTCTACAAGATATTTTTATTTCAACATAAAATATGCTTGTATAAAAATAAATCAGGAAATATAAAAAGAATTACAAACATTTTGCATAGTTTTTTCTCTATATAAAACATTTACCTGGGGCTTAGCACTGGATAATACAACTCTAAAACTACTATAGTTCAACAATTTTCTTGGATACCAAGTAATCAGAAAATAAGAGCCCTTAATTTGGAGGGGAGGGGCAGGAGGGAACACAATTTAATTTCGCATCAGTCTATATTTATTTTTCTGTTGCTCGAATATAAACCAACGATGACAAGAGGAGAAACTCTGGTGGTTTATTTAACAAAATTAAATTCACATTTCTGAGGCCATCATAGTGCATCCAATATCCATCAATCTGGAAAGCTGCAGAATAATGATGTTCCTCTTTGTTAAATAATGTGGCACCTTCCAACAAATATCTGAAAATTAAGATAAATTATAAAGTACATATGGTTAAAATTATTTTAATAGCCTTTTGAATCAGAAAGATTAAATTCACTCATTTCCTAGTGATCAGGAAACTATGTTTTGATTGTCTGCTTTCCAGAAAAGGATGTTCATCTGACTAATTTATGAAGTGTATGTGGTGATGTGGCCAAAAACTTAAAATTTCTAAAATGTATTTTAACAAAGGTAGCAAGAATAATTGACAGTGTGATTACTTTATAAGTATTATCAAAATATTAAAAGAATCAAACAAAACTATCTAGCTCATTGAGTATGTCCTACAAGGAAGATGTACTGAAAGACATGGACAAGAATCAAACAGAATGACAAAGTATAATTTGTGATCTGCATGGTGAGGGGTTAACCGCAACAATAACAGATTTTAATAAATCATAATGAATCAATAAAACTTTCTAAACCAAAGTACTAAAAGGATTATGGATCTCTCAATTTGTATGCCTAAGTTTTCTTTGTTAAAATATGTACCTACTGTATCACTGAACTGGAAAAAAAAAAAAAAAACTACACTTGTAGTAATCTAAAAACTCATTCTGTATGACAAAGGAATTCAGCAATGACTCTTCAACCACAATCCCTTCTTTAGGCCTACTCAAAATCACAAATAAATAGGTAAAATTGAACTGAAATTCCATTTTCAATTCTTTTATAGAACAAAAATAACACCTACTTGTGATCAGATAAATCCAAGTAATATGGTACATATGCCAGATCTTCAGATTTCCAGTGCTGCATATTTAAGACAACAAAAGGTGGTGCTCCATGGCAGAAAACTCGTTGGGAAAATTCTCTTAGCCCACCACAACTAAAATAAAAGAGCAGAAATTATTATTTCACTCAGCACACAATCTTTTCAACACCTCTGGAATTGCTCTGCTGTAGCTTTAATTTTCCAAAGGCCTAATTTTATGTACCAGAGTTGATCTTTTTACTCATATTTGACATACCTTTTTTTCCCCCAACAGTTTCTATTCATGTGCTGAATGCTGAAGTCCCTAAAGTAACTAATAAGAAGACAGCACAATAGAGTAGAAAGAATGCTACTTGCTGTTAGCAAAGGCTTGGGTTAGAACCCCCTACCTCTTTACTTAGTAGCAAGTCACTTAACCTTTCGAGCCTCAGTTTCTCATCCGTAAAAGAGTGATAACACTTGTTGTATTTCTCTGTTACGAAGGTCAAATAATACATCATATGTAGAGTACTTTCGAAACTTTAAAGCACCAAATCAATGGCATTTATTAAAGATGACACCACTGAAACATCACTATTTTATAACTTTTGTTTATTAATTTAGCATCAATCAGTGAGCACTTATTAAGCACATAGTATGTCCCAGGTACTGTGCTCAAGATACAAAGACAAAAGTGAAACGATCCTGCTCTCAAGGAGATTATTAAAGCTTTAGAATTTGGAAATACATTTTCCTCTTACTGGACCGGATGAGTGTATGAAGAATTTCTTGTAGTCTGGATAAATTCTCCTATTATTTGCTTCATTTTACAAATATTGTGTCTATTAATATATGAAAAGCTGTTTTTGCCCAGCAATAGCTGGTTTTACAAAGTTTTTACTGCATATGAATTAGAAAACTACGAAGTAACCACACATGTAAAATAGTAATTAACTGGAATGCTCTGGACATAACATACTGCTTAATCTTATTTTGTGATTAACCTAAATGAACCAGAAAACTTTTTTTGCTTCAAAGTTAATTAAGTTTTTTTCTAAGATATAAATGTTAATTTTCTTAACACAGTAAAGAGAGTATACCAAATATAATTTAACCCTTTCTTTGATGACTAAAGATCTCACGCTTTCTTATCATTCTGAAATGTAGGAATCCAGATTAATTGAGCATACTGGTTCCAGGATATAGTCAAGAAGCTACTTTTTTTTTAACTAAATCTTTTCTTTCTTTCTTTTTTTTGGTCATTTACCTCTTTTTTCCTAAATCTCGAGTGCAGAAAAAACATCCAGTTAATTGGGGGTCCTCACTGGTTGGGTTTTGCTTAACCAAGGTACCTACTCATCAATGGAGAAAAATGGCATTATGGTCATATTAATTAGCTGTAATTACACTATATACTGGCATCTACTATTACTGTAGCACAGCAAATATGTAACTTAATAGAACATAAATGATAAAATGCATGTGTTTACATGTTTCTCAATAAACAGCACAGTGACAGACTGCCTTTAAACAGCTGACAAAGCACTCACCCTAGCTCTTCACACAGCTCTATCTTGGAACAAAACAATTCATCCACAGCCAATCGGATCAAGTTTCCATGTGGTATTTCTTGGGGAGGACTGGAAAAATTATGAAATATGTGTAATTTTGTGTTTAGAAGCACAAAGCAGTTCTAATTGCAATTTAAGATAATACTGTAACATACAAATAGGATGACTTCAACATTTCTCTAACTTTTCCAGAAACACCATTACTTCAAAATGGTAATCTTGATCCTAAAATGTTGTTACTAAAGGAACTTTAAAATGAATTTTTAAAAGGATTTCAAAGAAACAATTTGGTCTCGTCTAATGTTTACAATTGGTGACTAGGACTCAGGAGACTGTTTCTTCCACTATAGCCATGGTATTGTAGGTAAGTCACTTAACTTGTCTGTACCTGAATTTTTCTTTACCCATAAAAATGGACCATAAATAAATGTATTAGTACATTAATACATTTAGGAGAATTATGCAGACAAAATGAGACTGATAATAGTGTGTTGTAAAAATTAAAAGCACCATGCAGACAGAAAATATTGGCATTTTCTGTTATATATCTAAGTCAGATGTCTTATACAATAATTATAGCCATTGATGTGCAACTATCAATAATATTTCATTAATAGTTTAAAAATACAAAATTTAATAGAGAATAATAACTGCATGAAAGGCTTGTTTACAAAAGAAGAAAGCATTTAACAGTTCAGTGAAAAATATTCTAGAGGAAGGAAACATTTAACTTTTTGGACAAAGAATGTTATCTCAGTTTTTTAGAAGCCTCATAAGGAAGAGATAAAATTAGCTGACCTTCTTTGTATGTAAACCAAAACAATGTATGTGGATGAATAAAGAAAAATATTTTATTCCCACTGAATTAAGAAATATTTAATCAAAGTATGGCTATTACTGGAGCAACTTATAATTCATGCTGTGTTTGGGGAAATGCATCTATAATGAAACTTCTCAAAACTATGGAATATGACTTATTTTTCCAAATGAAAGTATTTTCTGCTTTTCTGGAGTGAGACCCAAGTTTCCTTTCTGGTGTCAGTCATGAAACATCAAGGGCTGGTGTATCTGTCTACATTTGGGCAGCTTTGTGTATCTTTGCTCCTTTTCTCATGACCATGATTTTCTTTTCCTGGTCCTCTTCTAGCTCGTCCTCCCTCTTTCGTTCCTATCTTGTCCTTCTGCCCTTTCTCCTACCTATTCAGCCAGATCCTGGCCCCTCCTCTAACACATTTTCAGCTACTTACTTTATGTTAATTGTTCGCTGCTGATCTTCCTGCACTCGAGTTGGACATCTCCAGTTTGAACAGTAACTCTCCTGAATGGTTGACATGAGGTTTTCCAGATTCTTTGTAAAATTGTCATGTTCATTTCCAAACAAATCAATTATTAACGAAGCTTTGTGAACTTCAGATTTGTACTGCTGTTTTTTCATCTTGTCCCAAATCCAGAGTAGTTTCACAGTTGTAAAACTGTATGAGTCCATTAAATAAAGAAAACAGTCTACAAACTCTCTGCCTAAGTGGAGAGAGAGTTCCCTGGGGAAATTTTCATTTTCGTGAAGAATGACATATAGTAACATCAAGAATCCATCTATAGTGCAGGTATTTTTCAGGTTTATTTCAACATAGAGTGGTGTACAGGACACTGCCTTGCGGCCAGCTTTGATGGTAAAAACCCCTCCCCAGGGAAGGACAGGCCTCCAAAACGAACGGTCTTGGTTATAGTTATTTTTAATTGATGCTTTGATCTCTTCAAACAATGTCTTCATCCTAAAATTTAAAAAACCAATTTATAACAATAGGGTAATAAACCTGAGTTTTAGAACTCTTGAGATTCTAAATATAAAACTACGTAAAGACGCTGGCTAGATTTAGAATGAATCGAAAGTTCTATGACATTTTAAAAATATAAAGTAAGTCAAATGCCTTGTTCCTGCTATTATCTAGTTAATCTGCTTGGCCACGTTTACTTAAGGAATTGACATACTGAAATCCACCTTATAGACTCTATCAAATCTACAAAGACATTGATAACAGCACAGTCGGTAGTAGTACAGGTAGAGTGTTGAAGACTATTTCACCTGTATTATGTTAAAAACATGGAATAACGTATTTTGTTGTAACGGGATTCTACTGTAATTAAAGCTGTATCTATTCAGCTTTAGAAAACAATGTTAGGAATATGCCAGTCATCACTCAATTATTGCAATTACTAGAAGTGAATAATTCAAAAATAATTTCCATGCAGCTCTGGAAAGTATTTTGCATTTAGAGAATTTATAGTTGTGCCAGATGATTCAACAATCCATATTTCTTAAAACAATGCCATGTCTAATGAAAATCTGATTCAGAAAACTTGGATGACAATCTAACTTCACTAGCCTGCTCCCTCCAACCTGAAATGAAGACTATTTTCAGTCAAAAGGAAAAGTCCCATATATACAAAAAGTATTCACAGAAGCACTTTCTGTGGACACTGAGAACTAGAAACAGAGTACACATCAACCAGGAACAGGGCTTAACAAAATGATACATGAACATAACGGAAGACTGCTGCCACTACAAGAAATGAAAAATATTAAGAATTTAGAGAAACCTGAGATTTATATGAATACACTGTGAAATAAACAAAACAAGGAGAAAATTTTATATAATTACCAAGGAAGCAATAATGTAAAGGAAAAACATTCAAAGACTGCAGGGCTCTGATCAATACCCCAACCGTTCACGCTTCTAGAAGGCTGATGGTAAAGAGAACTGATGGTAAGTACCACCACTCACTAGAGAAGTGGTGGACAAGAGGTGTAGGATGAGGCAAACATTGTGAGAAAATTAATGTGATGGTTTGTATTGTTTGATTGCAGTTTCTTGTTATGGGGGAAGGTTCTACGGTGGCAATAGAGGATAGCAAGAAGCGACTAGTTCAGGACCCCAACACCTCACGTGGATTATTGCCAATAGCTTCCTACATGCTTTCATTGCTTCAAGCCTTTCCCCCTTCTCCAGTCCATCCTCTTTTTACCTGCTAAAGTGATTCTCCTAAAGCTGGGCTTCTTAAAACTTTTTTCACTCATGACTGCATCACTAAAGCTTAGGTCGAACTATATCAATCCCTTGTCAATAAATTTCTATTACCTTTAGGATCAAATACAAATCCTCTGTTTAGCATTTTTAGTCCATCACAAACTGGCTTCACTCTACCTTTCCAACCTTATTAACCACTGTCCCCCTTTCACACACTTCTGGTCAGCCAAGCCAGCTAATAACCTCACTGTTGCTCATACACCACATTCCATCTCCCACCACTCTCTCTTTGCACTGGCTGTTCTCTAAGCCTGGAGTACACTCCCTTCTCACCTCTGCCTCTTAAAATCCCTAGCTTCCTTCAAGGGACGATTAAATAGTACCTTCCTCAACCCCCAAGACAGTCTTCTCACCAATATTAACCTTGTATTTGTTTTGTATATGGTTATATGTGTACATGTTCCCCCTATGGAATGGAAGTTCTTCAAGGGACTGTTCCACTTTTGTTTTTGAATCCCCAGCACCTACCAGGTGCCTGCCATGTGGTGGATGCTTAATAAATACCTGCCGATAGACTGATAAGTGACAGTGTAATGTTTTGTTGTTTTTTTGGCCAGGCAGTGACTTGCCCAGGGTCACACAGCTAGTAAGTGTTATGTGTCTGAGGCCGGATTTGAACTCAGGTCCTCCTGAATCCAGAGCCAGTGCTCTATCCAGTGCACCACCTAGCCGCCCCGACAGTATAATGTTTTTAAAAGAATAGTATATCTTTTTGAAAAAGACTATTTTGAAAAGAAACCCAACTGACCTCCCTCCCTCTGGTGCAAACCTTTCCTGAGAGCTGGTGGCAACCAAGTGATAGAATTTAAATATATTTACATGGGGCCTTTAACAAACACCACATCTGTCAAACAGAGCTGGTGACAAAAAACAGAAATGGGACAAGAAAATTTGTTTGGATGAGTCTCTCTTGAGACTATATATGGAAGTAGGGCTCAGGTGAACAACTAAGTAAGAGAGTGGTATCTAAGAACAGGATTTGGATTTCTGGACCATAGCTTAAAACAAAAGAATGAAAGATTCTTGGCCATAGTTAAGTGTCCCTAACAAGCACTGATTAGAAGGTATTTGTCTGAAGTCTAGTCAATTTGATAAGTAGATGGTGAAGACTACCTCTGTATATTATCGTATCAATCAACATACATTCATTCAGTGCTATCATCAGCTACAAAGCCAGAAAGAATCACAAAAGTTCTCTCATTACAGATGAGGAAACAGGCCCAGAGGAATCAAAAGACTTGCCCAAAGTCATATAGCTTCTCTGCTTCCCCAGGTGGAGAACCACAATTTAAATCCAGGTCCCCTGATTCAAAATCCAGTGTTCTTAGAGTTATAATCTAGGAAGAAGACTAGGAGTTGAGGTACCTTTCAGTTCACAGAAGATAAAATCCATGCAAGGAACCAATAGAAACAAACAAAAAATCTGTGGAGTCAAATGTTTACATACCAGTTTACAAACTACAGCTAACAAGGAAGGATCCTAATGTAAACAAAGACAGCAGGTCAAGTGGTTAAGGGAGCTGTCTTCTGAACTAGTAAGACCTGGGTTCACATTCTGCTTCTGACCCATGCTGGCTTGTGTGACCATGGTCAAGCCGCCTACCTTTTCAGTGCTCTGGGCAACTCTACCTCATTTGCCAATTTCCTCTCCTAAGAGTTCCCTCTCCCCAGAAATCACAGGTTTTCCTATCCCTAACTGTAGAGGTGCAAACTTGACTATCTCCACTGAGATTTTGTGATACAAAACTAATGATTGGAAGGCTCTAAAAGGGCAGCCCTTTATTCAAAACAAACAGGACAGATTAAAAAGCTAGGTGGGAAGGGTGGCTGTGTAGCATTGTGTGTGTATGTCTCTGAACTTTAGACAGATGTGTGGGTACTCTAATGAAGCAGATTACAACCCATCCATGCCCTCTCATGTAGTCAGTCAATAAACATTTGTTAAGTGGCCACTACGTGCCGGGCACTGTGCTAAGTGTTGGGAATATGAAAAAGTCAGTCCCTATCCTCAAGGAGCTGACAATCTAACAGGGGAAGACCACATACAAAAAACTGAAAAGGAAGGTACTCTATGTGAGAACATAATGGAGAAGTCCAAAGGACTTCAAGCCTCAGTTAAAATCCAACCTTCTGCCAGAAGCATTTCTGGATCCTCCTGCTGCATTCTTTCTGTTGTTGTTCAGTCGTGTCCCCATTTGGGGTTTTCTTGGCAAAGATAGTGGAATGGTTTGCCATTCCCTTCTCCAGCTCATTTTTATAGATGAGAAAACTGAGGCAAACAGGGTTAAATGACTTGCCCAGGGACACACAGCTAGTGTATATCTCCAAATATTTATGTCTCCATTATATATAACGTACATACACACACATACGTATACATGTGTATCTGCATATACACACACACACATATAAATAAAACATACACATGTATATAAAAAACAAAACTCCTGTTACCAAATATTTGTTGTTATTGTTGTTCAGTCATTTCTGACTCTGTGACTCCATTTGGGCTTTTCTTGGCAAAGATATTGAAGTGGTTTGCTATTTCCTTCTCCAGCTCATTGTACAGATGAGCAAACTAAGACAAAAATGGTTAAGTGACTTGCCCAGGGTCACACAGCTACTAAGTGTCTGAGGCCAGACTGGTACACAGGAAGAGGAGTCTTTTTGACTCTAGCCTCAATACTCTATCCACTGTGCCACCTAGCTACCCCAGTGCCTCTGTAGTTTCCCCCAAATTACCTTGTATATCTTATTTGTACCTAGTTGTTTACATGTTTTCTCCCCCAACAGAATATGAACTCCTTGAGGGCAGAGACTCTTTTTGTTTCTTAATTTACTTTTTTTTTTTTTTGGGTGAGGCAATCGGGGTTAAGTGACTTGCCTAAGGTCACACAGCTAGTAAGTGTCAAGCGTCTGAGGCCAGATTTGAACTCAGGTCCTCCTGATTCCAAGGCCAGAGCTTTATCCACCGCGCCACCTAGCTGCCCCTCTTTTCGCTTTTCTTTGTACTCCAAGTGCTTAGTACAGTGCCTGTCACAACAGCAGGTGCTTAATAAGAGATGGCTTACGGGACAGGAGTGGGCCCAGAGTCAGGAAGACTTGAGTCCATATTCGACCCTAGACACTTACTAGCTGTATTACCCTGGACAAGTCTGCCTCTGCCTCAGTTTCCTCAACTGTCAAATGGGGATAACTGCACCTCCCTCTGAGAGCTGTTGTGAGGATCAAATAATATCTGTAAAGTGCTTAGCACATGCAGGAGGTACTTAATAAATGCTTATTTCCTTCTTTCTTTCTTGACCATGTCCTACACTGCGAGGCTCTGGAGGGTGTCTTGACATTACGTGCACAGTAGAGCACAGGCTGTCCACTGGTTATCCCTCCCCATCTTGGCATATGACCGGCCAACTGGTTTTCCAGTCATTTACCTCTGATATTCTTTACACTTCCACTGTACAATTTTTGGTTACTAATGCACAATGGCCTTTGGAAGACCTTCAATTTGATTTCTTCGGTGGCTTCATCCTAGGACTTACAGTCAAACAGCATCACCAGAAAAAAAAATTGTTGTTTAAAACGAAGGGCACTTTGTCAATGACTGAACAAATTGTGACGCATGAATGTAATGAAATATTATGTAGTTAAGAAATAATGAATATGAAGAACTCAGAGGAACCTGGCCA